CGAAATTGCGTCATTAATTTGAATATTGTAGTGACGAAAATGCGTCACTAATTTTTAATTTGGTGATGTGATTTCGTCACTAATATTTATTTTAGTGACGAAATTGCGTCACTATATTTTCTTTATACACACAAATCCGCATCATAGAGTCTTGCACACGAAAAAAAATTCTAAAAAATGACTCCGAGTAATAACAGTATTATTACTCAAGAAAATGGATGTACGAAATAGTTGATCCTTCTATGAGTAATGTATCTACGCATTACGAAGAAGGATTGACTAATTTTTTAGAATTTGCAACAAATCAACACATTTTTATTCAGAGAGAAAAGTTATATTGTATGTGCCGAAGATGTAAAAACGAGAGAGAAGAAGATCCAGAAGTTGTCGTGAGGCATCTATGGAAAAACGGTTTTGTCTCTAACTATTACGTTTGGGTTTCATGGTGAGACATTCCAAATTTCTGATGAGAATATATCCGTGAGAAATACTGATGTCTATGATTAGCCAAATTCATATATTGAGATGGTTCAAGATGCATTTCCATCTTAATATAATGATCAGGTTACAGAAGATCCGGTGAATGAAGCATCGAAAAAGTTTTTCGATCTATTGGATGTTGCGAACCAACCTATTTGTGATGTAAAGAAGGACTTTCTCAACGATCGGTTTCTGCTAGATTGACGGGGATGAAGACGAGTTATAATCTCACAGAGAACTGCATGGATGAAGCTTATCAGATGTTGAATGATTATCTTCCCCAAGGTAATAACGCTCTGGATTCGTATTATGACGTGTCTAAACTGATGGGATCATTGGGATTGGAATCGATAAAAATCGATATATGTCCTAACAACTATATGATTTTTTGGAAAGAATCTAACCAGTTGGACAACTGTCGATTTTGTGGAGTTGGAAGATATAAGCCGAAAAAATATGGTCAATGCAACCGTGTTCCTTACAAAAGGATGTTTTATCTAGCGATTAAAGATCGACTGCGAAGATTGTATGAATCTCATCAAACAGCTTCACATATGCGGTGGCATGCTGAACATACATTAGATCCCGGGAATATGAGTCATCCATCTGACGGTGATGCATGGAAGAATTTTAACGAGGTATACCCGAACTTTGTATCAGAACATAGAAATGATTATCTATGTTTATACACATATGGGTTTGCACCGTATGGTCAATCGAGCAAACAATATTCGTTGTGGCCTATTGTTATGTCTATAACTTACCTCCAGATATGTGTCTGAAAAAAGAGTTCTTATTCTTGACGATTTTGATTCCGGGGCCTGGGGCATCCGAGGAAAAGTTTTAACATTTTTCTTCAGCCTTTGATCGAAGAATTACTTGAGTTCTGGCATTGTAGAACTGATGCATACGATGTCTCACATAAAGAGAATTTCAAGTTGAAGGTTGTTTTGATGTGGACCATAAGCGATTTCCCTTATAGAATATTATCGGGACGGAGTACTCATGGAAGATTGGCATGTCCTTATTGAGTGGACGATATACAATCATTTCAACTGAAACATGGAAGAAAACCATGTTGGTTTTACTGTCATCGCGGGTTTCTATTGCTAGATCATCCATGGAGACGGAACAAAATGAATTTCAGGAAGAATAAAGTTGTGACAGATCTGCCTTCTCTTCTTTTCACTACAAAAAAACAGTTATATAGCGACGGAAAAATCTGTCGCAAATATAAAGGTCGCAATTAAGTATTTGCGACGGAATGCAACGGACTTATTTCTGTCGCTATAGCGTTGTCGCAAACGTATAACGGTCGTTAATCTGTCGCAGTTTTGCGACGAAAAAAATCTGCGTTTTGCGACGGAAAGTGATGGATAATTCCGTCGCAAATGTTTTAAAAAATATATAAAAAATATATAAAAAAAATTTATATACTATATATACACATACATATATACATTTTCACATACACATACACCTATATACACATACATTCATACACATACATTACACACATACAAATATACATACACAAATACATTTCACATACACATACATACATATATATACACATATTTTCATATACACATACTCATATATACACAAACACACATACACATTCACACATATACACATATATATATATACATAAATACTCATACACATACACATATACATTTCACAAACACATACACATACATATATACACACACATATACACATATATTCATATACACATACAATCACATATACATACACATACATATTCACATTCACATATATATACACATACACATACACATACATAAACACACACACATACAATTCACACATACATACACATTCACTTACACACATATATAAACATACACATACACATTCACACATACATATACCCATTCACTTACACACACATACACATATATAAACACACACAAACATATCAAACACATATATATATACATAAATACATATATATTACCTTATGGAAGAAATTTGGCGACCCTTGGAGAGATTTAGAAGAAATTTGGCGACATTTGTTTTTTTATCGAAAATTTTTGAAGTCTGATGAAGAAGACGACTCGTGGTTTTATATTGCGTCACAAAATGAAATTAATTTACGCGTCCAAAATTCAAAAAATTTCATCGAAAAATGAAACCAAATACATTGCGACGGAATATTCTGTCGCAATGCGTCGTAATTTTTATTTTCTGTCGCAAATCATCTATTTCTTTGTTGTGACATAATTATCCGAGATAAACCGTAGCAAATTGCGATGGAATTTGCGACTGTTTGCGACGGATAATTTTTTTCCACATTCTGTCGTAAAATCGTCACATTTCGTCGCTATATGCAGGGGTTTTGTAGTGTTTGACGGGTGAAGAGATATTGTGGGAGCAAATTGAAAGCATTCATGGTTTGGATAAAACCATTGATTGTGGTGGAAATGGTCATCGCAAACCATGTGAATACGAAGAGACACATAATTGATAAAAAGAAGTATATTCTGGGATTTGCCTTATTGGAGGACTCACAAGCTTCAACATAATCTGGATGTTATGCATATTGAGAAGAATTTCTTTGATAATGTGATCAATACGATCATGAATGTCAAAGATAAGCAAAGGGTAATCTAAAATCAAGGATGGACATCAAAGAAATATGCAACCGAAAAGAGTTAGAGTTGAGCAACGATGAAAAAGTCGTAATTTCGATATTTAGACTATCCAAAATGCTAATATCGCACTACTGAGATGGTTGAAGGAAGATGTTCAATTCTCGGATGGTTATGCATCTAACATCGGGCGATGTGCTGATCTTGATGCTGTGAAGTTAAATGGAATGAAGAGCCATGATTGTCATGTCTTCATGCAATGACTTCTTCTAGTTGCTCTTGCTGAACTACTCCCGCGCAATGTCTACGAACCTTTATACAGCACATATATATATATCATGGTTTTTAATTATTTTTTATAATATATATAAATTAAAAATTAATATTAATTGATAATCTTTTTATACATGCATGCAGATATCCGTATATTTTTCAGAGATATATGTTCAAAAAATCTTAATATTGATGACGTTCAACGTATGAAGAATATCATACCGCTAATCTTGTGTGCACTAGAAAAGGTATTTTCCCCTTTGTTTTTCGATGTTATGGGGCATTTAGCTATACACCTACCAGATCAAGCAAGACTTGGTGGTCCAGTGCAATTTCGATGGATGTATCCTTTTGAAAGATTGTTTTCCCATCTGAAAAGAAAGGTGAAAAACAAGAACATACCCGAAGAGGCAATCGTGAAGCAATATGTTAACGAAGAAATTGCGTACTTCACAAATTTCTATTTTGAGCCACATATCAAGACAAAAGCCAGAAGTTCTTTTCGGTATGGGGATGAAGATGAACTGATGTTTGAATTTAACTAAGTTGACATCGCGACTAACAAATAGGTACTTTTAAATTTACTGAATTTTCCAATATATATGTATATATATATATATGTATATATATATATACAAATTAAACTATTTACGGTACTAAAAAATATACAAATATAGGGAGATTGAGTAAAAAATCGAAAGAACAATGGTTATCTGCCGAATAATTTCGTCATGCGCACACATACGTGTTGTTGAATTTTACTGCCCCTATATATCTAATTAAAAAATATTAAATTTTCTAAGAAATTTTGTAAAATTACATTGAAAAATGTTAAATTGTCCCCATAAAAGTAAAATTTGTCTTTAAAATTAAACGCATAAAATTTTGCCACCGTTTATAATATTTTCTAGATCCACCTCTGGATCACATTATTCTATATTGATCACACTATTTTACCATGTTCATCTCTTACATATCAAACTAATCATTTGATAAAATTATTATAATTTTAATGTTATAACCAATGCGACTATCATATGACCAAATTATAATTTTGGTCACAAGGTCAAAATTGGAAAAGGGTATGGATAGAAATTAAAATAGTATATGGATGATATTTTTGATATAATGCCAATTTTATATGTAATAAAACTAATTTTCTCCTTTCACTAACTCTCTCAACTTATTAAACGCTTACGAGTGAGAAGTGACGGTCTCACTGTCAAACACATGGATTCTTTTTTGGTAATGGATAACCTAAGATGAGGTTAACAAATGGAATCTTATAGATCGCTATATTTTATGGTTGATTAATCGTTTATATTAATTATATATAAAAGAACTATATTGCATGGAAAATTCAAGTGAAAAAACTCTTAATTTGTTTTATAATCTAATTAAAACATTCTGTTTTTTAGGTATTTTTACAAAGATACAAATTTATTCGTGTTTGTGTTTATTTAGATTTTAATAGAATATTTTTAAAAATGAAGGGTTTTTAAAAATATTTGTTTTCCAAAACGTATAAACTCTTAAATAAAAATAAAAACAGAAAAAAAAGAGAGAATAAAAAAAGAACTTTAATAATATTGAACAAATCCAAAAAAAAATGAAGTATATTGTGATAACTTAATAGCAATGCTTAATAACATGCATATTGTTTAAACTTATATACACTCCATGTTAGTGTGGAATTCCCAACAATTTGAGTAATTACAACTCGCAAGTAGTGTGGCATTGCCACTTCAAAGGAACACTATAATAGTGGATATTATCTTTTTGCATAGAGTCGAATACCACGTTATTCCCACGACACTCAATAATTTGTCTCTTGTAGAAATACCAATGGTCTTGAGAAGAAGAATTGATGAGAGAGAGAGAGAGAGAGAGAGAGAGAGAGCTTTACCTTCTTCTATTTCTTCTGAAGGGACAAGAAGTTTGGCGTAATGATCTCAAGAAGTCCCTTTGGATTGTCTACGTGGACCCAATGTCCTGAATTCTCCAGAAGATGAGTTGACGCCTTCCCTGTTGACGAATCCTGTCCACTCTTACCGATCCTTTCGAGCCTCTCGCTCGTTTCGGGGTCCCATCTGTCACTCTTCTCTGCCATTACGACATTTATCTCTGTATCTTTTGGTGGGTTCTCCAACAAAGACCAGTAGGACGTCGCCCTGCCATGGCGAGCGAGAAGTTTCGGATAAGTAATCCGGGAAAAGGGTTTGAAGGGGGATTGAGATATTATCATCAGTTCCTGGAAATGTAAAAACCTGTAAGAACTGAACATTTGGATAGCTCCTTCGAGGTTAAACGCCCATGTAAGTGTGTCTCCAGATCTCTTGAGATTGCTTCCGATCCATTCGGACAATGATCTCGAAAACCCCAGCTCCAGCATGTGTTCAACCAGCCATCTAAAATCAGGAACAACAGTAACACCAAAATGGGGCGCTCGGTGAGAGGGAATTATATAACAAAATGAAATATACATAGCCAAGACACGATCATATATCAAGAATCCCTATTTCCACTTATCTATATTCACACAAGGCATAAACAGAAATGTCATTGCCCCCTTGACAGAAACTGTGTTCCATTGACGCTGTATACAGTCTCACATTTTCACTCATTAACACCTGAATCTTCCACATCTAAGTCGATTATAATAGACTCCCACACGAACCCTATTTAGTGTAGATGTCGATCTAGAGTAGAATGTAAGGAATTGCTATCGTAGATTCTTAAATGAGTACTATTCCAGATCTACTCAGATGAGTTCCTGCCTCCTAAACAAGATACCTAAACATATAAAACTATTAAGTACTTAGCCTATAACACAGACTACAGAGTACAGACATCTTCTAAATTAAAATGCAGAGGGATACATAGCAGAAGAAAGTTTTGGAGTGATCACATACTCATATTCATATGTATTTGTCTTATCACTTTATCAGACTTAACAAAGCAAATTCTACCAGACAAGAGGAGAGACCAAAGCCATCAAACAATGAAAGTGAGAAACTTTACTTGCGTGATGGAATCGGCGAAGGTAAACTCTGCAATGTCTGCAGAACTTTCTCTACCTCACCATCACTGTTCTCTGATTTCACTTCTCCAGGAACAGAGTCAAGCACCCAAAGCTGCTCTGCATCAAACAGAGAAACCAAACCCACACCGCTATGGTCAGCTCATCGAAGAACAGCACCATAGTCCTTATGTTCACCATAGTCCAAGCACAGAAAATTCTCATACAAGCATTAGACTAATCAAACTTGTATACAGCAAGTTTACCAAAAAAAAAAAAACTTGTATACAGCAACCCTAAACCAGGAACCAAGGTTTTGACATAGATTTGGATTTTTCCTACCTGCTTAGGAGGTGAAGCGGATTCACCGTAATCTCCATTGATACAGCTCTCCAAGAACTGCAAAGCAACCTTGCCTCCCAAGGAATGACCAACGACAACATCAGGCCAATCCCACCCACTTCCCTTAACCAAATCAGCCACATCCTTTGCGGAACTCACAAGATCATGCGGCGGATCAAGCCCTTCAACCTCAGTCGATCTTCCATGGTTCCTCAAATCCACCAACACCATCCTCCATTCTATGAAGAAAAACAGAAAACAAACGGTGTTCCGGAGCCGAGAGAAAGAGAGAGAGAGAGAGAGAGAGAGAGAGAGAGAGAGAGAGAGGAGGCGTACCGGAGCCGGAGAAGGCGGAGAGAGAAGAAGCGAGGGAGAGAGAGAAGGATCGCCAGTTGCGGCCGGAGCCCAGGAGGCCATGGATGACGATGGCCGTAGAATCGTACGGCCGATTGTCCGAGTTCCGTATCTCTTCGTAGGCTAGGGTTTTCAGAGATCTCGTGCTCGCGAAGAAGGAAGAGAGTCGGCTCAGTGAGTCAACATTCCGAGTCAAAAGGCGATATTCCAATCGGTTCTTGAGAACTCTTGCCATCGATTTTTTTCCTAACAGAAGACCTCGCTCTGTCCCTCACCAAAACAAATCTGCGATCAACGACACACTCTGCTAATAGAACAATACGTCGCCGTTTTGGATTTTGCGAACAATCGAAAAAAAAACAAATGCAACATTTTACAAATGATAGATAAATAAAATAAGTAAGAGAAATGAATTTGTTAGGTACAGTCAAAATTAACCATTCTGAAATAAATAATACATGAGAACCGAATTTGATATAAAATTTGAATTTGTCAGTTTTTTTAAAATAAATAAATAAATGAAATGACCACAAAACCGAAAACGTATTCAGAGAATGAACATTTTTGTCCTAAAAAAGCGAACGAAGATCATTTCAAAATTTTAAAGATAAAATATTTGTTGATTGGATTGGGATTCAGATTTATTGTATTTCAATTTCTTTGACCCTAGTCTATACCAACATTACTAGCAGATCCTCTTGGGTTCTCAGGAACTTTCTTAAGAAGCAGATCGGAGATAGCAAATCAAGCAGTTTCTGGTTTGATGATTGGACTGGGGTTGGTCCACTGATCACTCTCACCGGAGAAATTGGGCCGCGACTACTACGAGTTCCTCGAGATGCGTCGGTTGCGCAGGCTACATCAGGGGGGAGATGGACTTTTCCGGGAGCTCGATCCGAGGCCACCCAAGAGATTCAAATCAAGATAGCGGCAATTGAACCACCTAATGACGGAGAAGGACCAGACTTAACACTATGGAAGCAAGCAAATGGTGAGTTTCGAGCATGGTTCTCCTCGGCACAAACGTGGCAACAAAACAAAATTCAGAGAGCACAGGTTGACTGGTTTAATGATGTCTAGCTCACCCTGTCGACTCCTAGGTTGTCTCTACTGCTCTGGCAAGTGAAGCTACAACGTCAACCCACGACGGATCGACTAAACCGGTGGGGAGTTCAGGTTGACAGTGTATATGAATTATGCGGATTGCAGGATGAGAGTCACTCTCATTTGTTCTTCGAGTGTCCTTATAGTTGTGCGATCTGGAGCCATTTCGCAGGTTTCTGTGGTGACCGCCCTCCATCGGATATAGGCCAAGTACGAAGTTGGAGCGGAAGGCAAAACCGAGGATCGGAGCGAAACAGAGGTCTCATCTCCAAGATTCTCTCACATGTGACAGTGGACCTGATATGAAAAGAGAGGAATGATCGTATATTCAGGGAAAAAGTGACAATGATTCGAGACGCACGAACCAAGCTAGATCGGCGGATGCGAACTCTTTTACTGTCAGTTCGGCTGGGAACTAATGCCCATCAAGTTCGGTTACTCGAGTACTAGTACTTCTTGACGAAAGGCCTTAGATAGAAAATGAATTAGAATCACCTAAGATGGATTATTTTGCCCACTTGCACATGGGAATCCAAATTTTTGTACATGTTTGTATCTGTTTTACAAACTGATGTATTCTGTTGGAGTTTAATACAATCACATTTAACAAAAAAAAACCATTACTAGATTTATTAAAATTACAAAAATACCACTACTTGTATATGATTTTAGAGTTTCATAATTCTAACTTCTCACCGGAAATTTTCTATGAATTTAAAAACTCGATGTAACATATATTCCTATTTGCGTCACAGACATATTCATGGATATACCTAACTATTATGCACTGTATTTTGAAAATACATTATATTCACCACGATAAAAAAAAAATATACAAGAACGAAACGTTGTTGTGTAATTGTAACATCTCGAGTCTTAACCTTTCACATCGCGTTATATCCCATTCAAACATTTGGAATGACCCTTTGAACCCCAACATTCAAACATCTAAGATCCAGACACTTGGAGACGAATTCCAAATCCTGAGAGTTGATCCGCACCCACGATATCGTCTACTTATTTGATCCGAGCGATCTCGATCGATTTTTTGAGGGCCGATAAAAGGCTTCTCATGATCCTTTCTTCGCCTGGAGGTGCCTTGTCCTTTTGCCGTCCATTTCGGGTGGCTCGGAACATCGGACCAGAGCCCGGACCGGTCGACTGGTAAACCGTACAATCGATGTAAACGGGGACATCGGTTGTGCCTTGGTCTAAAATCGTGATGAAACCTAACCTTGCTCCTCCTGTTATTTTATCCACCTGCTATTAAAAGGACTGTTTACCAGACAATCCAAGGATCTGTATACAAAATCTAATGATTGTATTACAAAACAGAAAGGGATTCCCATTCCCATGTGCAAAAGGGTAAAGACGAATTAGCCAACCAAATCAAAAGCTAAGGTTGTGTAACTTTCGCCAGTAATTGGTTCTTGTCATTCACTCCCTACTTTATGGAGGGGAGGATGGGTCGCCTAGGGGTTTCATGGATTTGCTTGTGAAGATGCGGTTGTTCCGCTCCAGTCAAAGCTCATATACTGCGATGGTTGGTTTCCCCTGTTTGCCCGGCGAATTAATCCAACCAAGGCATTGTAGAAGATACGACGGAGGGGCATTCGGCAACAAAGAAGGGGCTGTGCATCCATGGTATCAGATGCTCAACCTCGGACTAATGTTTCGAACAAACATGAACTTATGCGGTTGTTTGTAGAAAACTACCATGTTTTGCAACTTTTTGATGAGTTGCAGATGTTTGAATATGTTGGGACAGCAAGAGTGGTGAATCGTTTTATGAGAGATTTGTCAGTGTGTTTTTGTGTATGTTTCTGCGCAAACCATTCACCAAAAAGTTTGTTTTCTTTTTTCAAAAGCAAATTTCTTGTTTTGAGAGCAAACCAATATCATTGCGTCGTCTTTGTATCTCAAAATTGAACTTACCCGTTTGGTAACATAACATGAATAAATATTGAAAACCCAAATCTTGCTATATTCTCGGGGGGAAAAGCAAATTTTGTTTTACCTTGAGAGGAACGGGAAGAGGCAGATTGGCTCCTTGGCATAGGCTATTCGCCCACTGGTGGAAATTTACCAAAAAAACAAAAACAAAAAACATTTAAAATATAGAGAGCTTTAAAAAAAATTAAAAATTAATGGGTTTAAACTTCTGAGCTTTTGTAGTCACCAGAGTAGTAGGATATCAAATGGACCAACTCAGCTTGGTTTGGATTCAATTCGTTAGACTCGTTTTTAAACGATCCAAAACAACTTGAACTCGATAAATGGATCGGTTGACGAATGAAAATAATACAATCTTTTATTTAATGTAAAATTTAAATATTAAAATATTAAATTTAAATGTTTAAAAGAAGATATACATTTACAACCAGTCAAAAATAAATCAAATATTAATTTTATACAAAAAAATATAAATAAAAATATGAAAAAAATGTAAAACATTTGGCGAAATGGTCCGTTTGACTCATCTCGTCTGGAAACGATTCGGTAACGAGTCATCACGCAAAGTGAGCTCATTTGGACACTCTGGTTAGGCCCCAACCAACTGAGCATTACGCTGATTCCGTACTAATTGAGTTAATTAATTACCTGGAAAAGAAGAGTCTCGAATCTTGCGAGATCAGTGTCCAAAGGAAGCTTCATAGTCCCAAGAGAGACGCCCTCCTCCTCCGGCGTTCCCACTCCGCCGTTTGCAGCCAACGGCGGCGGAGTGGTTTCACGGCGACCCCAGTTCTCGGCGAGACCGACCCACGGCTTTGTCCGGTGGACGGAGAAGAAGCATGGCCTTTTCGGCGACCGATTGGATCTCGCCGGAGATACGATGGATCCGGCGGCCGCTGAGAAGAGCTTCGCCGTCACCGCGAAAGCCATTTTCAGCACGGAGAGAGAGAGAGAGAGATGTGTCGGAGATAGGAGATGAGGATATTTTCGTCGAGTGTTTTGGCTTAGACGTCGAAAAGTGACCTCACAATTCTCTATGCAAACAAAAGCTGCTTTTTTTTCGTTTTTTTAATGAGAGAACAGTAAATGAATAAAAAGTTTTTTAAATAGGGGAAAATATACAATTGTCTGTTAATGTATGAAACATGGATTATTTCATAATTCGTTTAGAAAATACAACTTTTTTAAAAAAAAATTGACATTTCCTACATACTAATAAGTATACCATGCAAGTTGAATACGTTTTTGCTAATTTCTAGAAATTCCAATTTTGTTTTTCAATTATTTTAAACTTTTTATTCTATTGATAAAAGGCGATTGATTAATACATTTGTTCTCCAACTAATAAAAAATATGTGAACTTTTATGCAATTGACATCTCTCTCTAATCTTGCTCGCAAGTGTGATGCTTATATGGTAAACACTCATACATACATTATATATATATATATATATATATATATATATATATATATTGCCTTGGTTCTTAAGCTTTTGTTCAATATTAATTTACATAATCTCTCTAACAAATCTTAATTTCACCATTTTTTTTCTATATAATCTACAAGATGTTTGAATTTATCCGATTTTGAATTTATCATCCGTAAATATTGGAGTAATGGAGATATATGCGGCACTGTATCACAAAAATCTAAAGCTGGACGAGACAATTAGCCATTCATTGATTCGGATCAAATCGATATTCGTTTATTAATCAAACTGAACACCCTACTAACTATTATCATGCGGTAATTTAGCTGCTTTTAACAATTTCAACAGCAAAACCTGAATGCGGTGGTTGGTCTCCACTCTGACAATCGCAGGCCATATATCCGAAAACCCAGTGAACGTTGCCCATCCATTCGCAAGTCATTATTGTAGATGTCAAAGGATATAAAATCATAATATCATCCATCTCGAGTTTTATCTAAGATATTTGAATTTTATGTGTGGACATGTTTACAAATATGAATCTAGAATTCTATATAAACATATGAGAGATTGAACAAAACTCTTTCTCATCCGGGTCTCAATATAGATCCGAAACTCGGTCCATCCGAAAAATATCGGATTTCGAGCCCAAATTTTTTGGTCAATAAAATAAAGCATTCGGACCGGGTTCATTGGGTTTTGTATTGGCCCAAAACACGATATTTTTTTTAAAAAACTTCATAAAAAACTCAAAATATAAGCAAGCCATCTAAAAAAACATTTATCAGCATTGAGTCCAATTGAACACAGAGTACTACTCAACTAGCTTCCCTTTTTCTGCTAATCCACCACTTTGGTCCTCAGAATCTTCACTTCATGGATAGGTCTGAAATTTGAAAACAAGGGAAAACATGTGAAGAAAATGGATTTTTTTTTCCTTTCTATTTTCATCATTACTTCTCTAAATCTTCATCCAAGAGATTATTCTGAATGAGAGTGGCTTTTTACCTGTCGGTATTATCCGTTTGGACGCTACCGAGCCTCTTTATCACTTCCATTCCTCGGCATACCCTTCCAAATATCGTGTGCTTTCCTGAAAGATTGAAAGCACAGAAAGTGACTAACTTTGTGTGACAAGGACGAAAGGACAAAGCTTTAACAAAATCTGGAAACAAGATTTGAAGAACAGAGGAAAAGGGGTTATATTCAAATCCGTACAAATGCGCATTTGTATATACAAAGGAGAGTGCAGAAATTTGAATTTGAAATAAAAACAAGCGAATCTCTCTGAACGAAAATAACAACCAATTGAATCGAAAACAGAAACAAGCCAAGGAGCCAAATTGAAGAACCAACACAAACTGTATAAAACTGAGATATAATCTCTTATCAAATCTCATGCTTGACTTGAACCATGAGTCTATATGCCTAACAGTGTGTTTTCTTAGCAATATGAGCTTGAGGGCCAACTTAAATTTGCCCATGGAAATAAATTATCGACTTCTTGGGTAAAATCGGAATCATAATATAAACGTGGAAAAAATGACAAATGCAATACTGATAAGTCACGGGTTAGGTATGAAAAACCACAATATCCAGAACAAATTCGACTTTGAGTTGGTTATAGAAGAATGAGGTCAACCCTAAGTCTTGTCTTTAAGAAAAAAATGGTTTGCATCAAAGATGTCATTTTTAGTTTTAGAAGTTTCCAGAAAGAATTTCGGGATGGGAAAGCTTAGAAATGAGTGTGTTTACCATCAAGGGAAGGTGCTGGCGCTAGAGTAATGAAGAACTGACTCCCGTTTGTATTAGGACCAGCATTTGCCATAGATATGATACCAGCTCCTGTGTGCTTCAATTCCGGTCTTATCTCATCCTCAAACTTCGAGCTTAGGATAAGGAAAAAAACAAAACAACCATAAGAAAGCAGTAAAAATAAAATGATAAAAGGCACGAGTAATTGCCTATTTCTTTGGATTCAAAATATAAAGGTTTTCAGTTTCGGGCCTTAGGAACAAATCAATGATACAGACAGGTAGGGAATCAATAATGGGTTTCTTAGGAAAGACTTAAAAACATTTTCTTACTCAATTCAATGATACGGCAACTTAAGCTTGGCATTTTGACTTGGTCAATATTAATAAACATTTTCTTGCTCAAATCTCACGCCAATAGGCAATCAAATTCAGAAATTTCCAAATTTCTCATTTCAAGAAACTCGGGATGATTTTGAGTCAATATCAAACAGATAGTTGAACAGCAAAATCTATTTGCAGCTGAATTCTACTTCTTAAGAACCTAATCGAGCTGCATAACTATCACGATCTCGGAGATTATCTCACACTTGGTTGATATCAACCAACAACGCGGAAATCTACCAAACAAATGTAACACAGAATATGAAAATTTAGATAATGTACCCGTAAATCGATACGCCGCCTCTTCCAGTTCCTGTTGGATCTCCACCTTGGACGATAAAATCCTAATACGAGTGACATCTTTGTTGAATCCACGGAAAATTGAATCAAACCTAAAATTAGATAAGAAATACGAGACTGACCTTGATGATTCTGTGGAACACAACATTATCGTAGTAACCTCTACGTGCGAGCTCGATGAAATTCCGACAAGTTCTCGGCGCATGTTTGAAATACATCTGCGAAATCACGCCAGTAAGTCAGGCAGAGGCATATTACTGGAGATATTATAACTTGAAAAAGGGAAAAAAGAAAAGTTTAGCCGAAAGAACATTGGAACATTTTCCCATCTAAAACCCTAAATCTTCACTAGGAGTCTATGCAGCGAATGAACAGAAACCTAAGCTAGTGCGAGGTATATGCAAATGCCAGAAGCGCATTCCTTCGCTTTCTCAGCAGCCAAACAGTAATAAGCCTAAAGCGACAGAGAGAGAGGGAGAGAGAGAGAGAGAGAGAGAGAGAGAGAGAGAGAGAGAGAGAGAGAGAGAGAGAACCTCGACGGTGAAGGGACCCATGGAGGTTTCAAGAGTGACCTCGGGTGGACTTCCGTCGGGTCTTGCCGACATCTTCAGAGAGAGAGAACGATGGCGACGGAAAGAGAGAGAGAGAGAGAGAGAGGGCAGCGTCTCCGTCCGAGAAGATGAAACGCTGCTTTATTCGGGTCGGATCAGGTTCTTTTGATGAGAACAGGGGCGTGAAATGGGTTGGCTCCGACCCGGTCCGGCCCATCTCTGTCTCGATCAAATTTTTCAGATTTTTTGTGTTCAGTCTAATTCGATTCATATTCTGGCTGACCAAAAATTATATGGCTTAATCAGTCTAATTTAAAATTATCAGTCGATTTAAAAACTAAATATCTAACTAAAACACAATTTAAATATTAAAAAGCCAAAATTTAAACAAAACAAATTAAATACATGTTAAAACATAATTTAAATATTACAAAAAAATTAATACGTATAATTCCCAAAAATGTACAGACTCAGTCCTTTAAACAAGGCCTACATTTGAATAAACTACTAGAAGAAAATCCCATGCGCAAGTGGTATAAGTAATTCCGCAATACTTCACTTCCCAGTTATGCTATCGCCTTCTAATGCATTCAGTCAAAAAATACCAATGTTCCAGCAGCATGTTAGGTGTTGATGCCCCCTGTCTTTAACCGAGAGAAGAATAGTCCTCATCGTACTGTCCACCCTCTTGCGTACTGCTACTGATGGTTTCGATTCACTTCGGAAGATACGGTTATTTCGTTCAGTCCAGATCTCATATATTGCAATCTGTAAGACGAGCTTGGAGATGACTCCCCTGCTCTTCTCAGCATCATTGTGCTGTGTACCCAACCATTGAACACAATCTTGCAGAGTACTCGGTGGATAATCCCTGCAACAAACAGCATAATAAAGCCATATTTCTTTACTATACTGACATTCAAAAAAGAGATGTTGATGGGTCGTCTCGCCAAGTTGGCTCGTCACTAATTCGGTTCATGACGAACTCGCTTGTTCGGTCTATTTTTTTAGTTGAAATGTTTTTACCTTGACTCGAAAAAATATGAGTGATTCGCGAGATGAAACCATTTTGACATTTACTTTTGAACCCACATAATTCAACTGTACCCATAAAAAAAAAAACCTGGTTCTTCTAAACCAGACAAAATCTGGTTCAATAAAATGGCAACGAATACTCGGTTTACTAAATCGATCATTGTTTTGTACGTGTGTGTGTGTTTTGTCGCATTAGTTACTTTTTCTGATACAATAATGTGTTACACATCGAACAAATGAAAATGCGTAAATTGTGCATGTGCATGTGTTTTTTGTTAAAAGGTCATTTTATGATTTATGAATCAAAATTGAATTTCGGATTTATTACAGTTTCGTATGAATCTAGAGGGACACACAAATAAATGATTGATAAATAATATGTGTTAATCAGAATGATGAGCAAAATTGAATTTTTCTCAAAGCCCGAAATCTGTCCCGCGAAATCTGTCCGGTCTCGGTCGGGACAGATTTCGGCTGAGTCCGGCCAGATCTCGGTCAACCTAGACCATACATATTTTTGCTAGTCTAGAACGGGCAGATTCAATCGATACTGGACAGATTTCGGTCAGTTAAGACCAGACAGATTTTGAACAGTGGAGATCAGGCAGATTTGGATCGAGAACCAACCTAGTTGAGGTTTGAGACTAGCCTGATATGGGCCTGAATCTGTGCCAACTTTGGACTTCAAAATCATATTTGCTCAGAGTCCAATATCAGACCAATTTCAGTCGTGATCGGATCGATTTAGGGTTACGAAAAATAACCTTTTCCTAATAAAATTAGAGTTTTGGGTGAGTCTACAAGTGTCAGAACGTCTGAACTCCGTCTCCTTACAGCTTTAGATCAGATGTTGAAGCTTTGAAAACAATCTCAAACACCTTTGAAACTCTGCCACACAAGAGACAATGAGTTCTCTAGAGTCCTAACAAACAAGATCCAATCGTTGGATTTCTTCATAACATGTGGATAAATGAAGAGGGTGTTGACATTTTTCTACACTTTGCGGTGATCAAAGTACTAGTATCGAACTAGAGTTTAATGGTTGTATTCATCCGACTTATCAAATACTTCACCACTAGTGTTTGTGGCGTTCTCTACATGATTTGAAAGTTGTTAACTTTTTCAAAGCTGTAATACATAGGCGATATTAGTTGGTCCCAACAATCACAACATGAAACTAATCGTCGCTTATTACACCATGAACCCCGGATGAAGGAGTAGATGATGAAAGTACAACGGCCGCCCGGAGAATGGCGCGGAGGGTCATTGGGAAAAGGAATTCCGCATAGGCATCCCAAACGTCTAAAAGCCAAAGCCTTATTTATGAGAGAACTCTATCCAACTTGTTCATTATTATCTCTCTCTCTCATACAAACAAAAAACTGAGGGAAAAAAATATAAAAGAAATATAAAACGTCCAATTATAAAAATCATAAATAAAATAACGGGAAAATAGATTAAATTGTCTAATAATACTGCTAGTCTTGTGATCCGGGGGAACTGTCCAAATCATGCCACACCAATTTGGACACAAACTCATCATGCTTCGGAACATATTCCTGCCGCCAAATGAAAAGGATACCGTTACGGAATTCATATGAATAATCTATGCATCAAATTAGCGTCCGGGTGCAAACTACATAGGCTATTTAATCCGAAATTTATTTGGTTTTAATTCGGCATTACATCCCTAGTTTTTTTTAATAGCATGACACTGGAAAGGAAAAATAAGGGTTTTCATATAAATCAATTTAGTTGCTAACGGATTTCACACTTACTGGTGTATTTAGACATTTTCTTGTAAAATCATTAAAAAAAAATGTTTTTTGAGACTCTATACAATATTTTATTATCGTATTTAAATTCATTAGTCCTATTTTTGGTTAATATCTTGTGGTTATTTCGAAATAAAATAACAAAACCGTGATTTTTTGTTTAACTATTTTTTCCAAAACTTTTAATCGGTTTTCGACTCAATTAATCATAACTTTTTTTTAGTCCCGCCCCAATTAAAGATACATATATATATATATAGATATATGTGTGTGTGTGTGTAATAATACCTCAAGAAGTTTGACCAATTCTTTAGCCGTTGGGGCAGAGACAATAATTCGACGAGAGATTGAGGAGACAAAGCCTTCATCTGCTGCTTTATCAATGAGTGATAGCAACGGATCGTAGAATCCATCCACGTTCAAAAGCCCCACCTGAAAATTTTGTTTTTTAAAGATTATATAATATACTCCTAAACTATATATGTATATAGATATAACACACACGAGTTGATCGACGAATACAAGTGTCAAGCTTATGTTATAAGGTTAAATTGTATAAATTCAATAAAGTATGATTGTTAGGTAAAAAAAAAAAGAGGAACACTTTTGACCTAGCTTCGTATATTCCTTGTTCTTAGCCGAAGATTCTTTTTGCCCAATTCATCGAAGTTTCTTACTTTTCTGACGCTATATAATAGTATATAAATACATACACATCTTATGTATGTATGTATGTATGTATGTATGTATGTATGTATGTATGTATGTATGTATGTATGTATGTATGTATGTATGTATGTATGTATGTATGTATGTATGTATGTATGTATGTATGTATGTATGTATGTATGTATGTATGTATGTAAAATCACTTGTTATATCATGTATATACGTGTTATATTATTTGCCATATGAATGTGACATCAAGACCCATACGCTTTATATTATAAAATTCTCATTGCCACACTTTCTCGTCTATGTAATTAATTAATAAGGTTAACTAACTAATTAAATAACTAAATTAACCAATACATTTAGCCTAATAAGCTTAGAAAAGCATACACGCATGTCCCAAGAAAGATGACATCATCACAACAGGCAGAATTCCACTAATCATCAATATATATATATATATATATCGCTCACTTTATTCAAATCTTTATAAGAAGAAGAAAAAAGTGAAGTGGTCATTTACCGGTTTGGAATGGATCCCTAGCTGAGACCAAGTGATGACTTCCATCAATTCTTCAAAAGTACCGTACCCACCTACGTATTATAAAATAACAAGACATAGGTTGTATCATTTTATAACTCATTGAGTCCAAATATTAGCATTGCTACTAATCATTTGGGCCTCAATATTATGATCGACATTTCTAACCAGGAAGTGCGACGAAGGCATCGGCGTGGCGAGCCATTTCGGCTTTCCTTTCGTGCATGTTTGAAACGGTTTGAACTTCTCCCACCGGTTCGCCCGTTATCTAAACCGAAACCGAAACGTATTAATCTTAATCTTGCAAGAAAACCCTTTAATTGGGTTCCCTAACAATGATTAAAGGTTAAATGTAAATACCTCTCTAGACGTGAGAGACTTTGGAATTACCCTGCCAAGCATAACAATAAAAAATCATCAAAAGATATAAATATTTCAATTAAAGACACTACAATAGTCTCCTACCAGAACCTTTTTATTACCCAATAACAATTATGTACAGTCTTATATATATACATATGTATGTATATATTGTGACTACGTTGAAGAGCCGTATTGTGCAATGGTCAAAGATTCTTTTGTACGTCAGTTTTCTTCCCATGGAAGGGTCAAAAATCCTAGTAAAATATATATATATGTATATACACTATATAACACTATATATATACATACATAGGTATAACTAAAGGCATTTGCTTTTTGTCCTTTTGACCAAAATATTTCACTCCATTCATATATAATAATAACAGAAACAACGAAGAGTGTTTACTCATATCAAGGCAACACATGAATACAAGAAGGGAAAACCGAATAATTGATTGAATCACAGTTAAGAATAAGATATATACATAAATATACTGTATTATATACACACATGTGTGTATACATATATATATATAGAGAGAGAGAGAGAGAGGAGAGAGAGACCCGAGAACATGACGACCGCCATCATGAACAGCCCGAGAGACGCGACCCATAAGCCCCACGCTTCCGCCTCCATAAACTAAATCTATGTTTTTCTCCACCTTTCACATATACATAACGCCAAGATGGAAAATCCATGTTTATTCTACGCATTATCTAATACTCATTTGTATATATAGAATATATATCAGAATATGGGTTTACCTTAAACATTAGAAATGCAACTATTTAATTCATAAATATGATTCTTTTATATTAGGAAGCTGTCATGATATGTTGCAAACGTGCACATATACGCATTGCTCCTTTGGACAGATTTATGAGGAGGAATGCTCAAGCTACATCAAACAGAATATTTCATGAAATAATAATCCATGCGAATGACCAAATTAAATTCCTATTTAATCATGAAGCATGCCAATAATCTAATTTATGCATTTTTTATAAGAATTAATATGTGTGTGTATACTAATCAGTCGAACATATCGTATATGTATATATACACACATCGGCATTTATACGTTTGTCAATACATACATATATGACAACATATATTCATATATGTTTCGAAATGATATAATTCTTGAAGAACGATGGCATGATAGAAAATAAAAAAAAAAACTATCAAGATATTTAAACATTTTGCAATGAAATAACGACACTTATATTTTACTATTCCATAAACAAATTATGCGCGGATTGGTATAAAAATGCTTTTATGTTTTAAAAACATGAAAAAACGAGGGAGAAAATAAGAAAAGATGATGACAAAATATTTACGAGTGTGTTGGCGAGTTCGAGAGCAGCTTCTTGATAACTAGATTTGTTGCCTGAACTGCTTCCACAGAAGACACCGATCCTCTTGAACCTTGATCTTGTCTCTTCCATTCTCTCTCTCTCTCTCTCTCTCTTCTTATTCTTCTTCTTCTTCTTGTTTCTCCTTTCCCTCAGAATCCAAAGAAGAGAATATATATATATATATGTATGTATGTATGTATGTATGTATGTATGTATGTATGTATGTATATGCGTTAATTAGGTATATGCACACAGGGAGAACAGCCTTGCATGTCTTTGTGTGTAGATATTGTTTAGGACTTATCAGATCGCGAAGAATCCTTTTTCTAGGAAAAAAATCTCTGTTAATAAATGCTAAGAAATCTAGCTATGTTCACACACATATCATAATATCAATTTCATCAGATTTTGTTTTCTTATTTAACAAGTGGGACCACCTTATCTTTGTAGAAGGAATATCAAAATTAGAGAAAAAAAAGGAAAACAGACGAAAATTTAATATTTATCAGAACCACACTATATGTAAATTGTAATGATTCCATCTCTTTGTTCTTCAAATTCACCAACTCACACTCTATGTTTTTAATTATAAATAGAAAATAATCTGGAAATTTAATCATAAGTTAAAATCTAAACCTACTATGAAAGGGAAATCGATTTTTTCTCTGCTATTTTCCTTATCTGAATAGAAATTGGATTATTACACATAAGTTTACTTTTTTATTCTAATACTTTGATTTATCCAAAATTCGAATATTTAGTCGATTACGTATAAATGTTAAATTAAATGTTATTTATAATTAGAAAAAGGCTATAAAATATATTTTCAAAACCATGTATCAGATTTAACAATTCCAAATTAGAAATAATTTAGTGAAAATTTTAAATCGTTTATCATAACTACATAAATCGTCCATTTTTTTTTTGTGTGCAATTTTTAGTGACTCTTTGGGAATATATCAAGTTATTTTATTTTGTTTTCTAAATTTAAGAGAAAATGTATATTAAATATAATACACGGACTTAAAAAAACATGAATTATTCTTAAAACATAAATTTTCAACCGATTCGCAAAAATCATCAGTGATATTTAGGAATCATTTAAAAATGAGTTTAATATATGGATTAAGAACATTTTATTTTTTAATATATTTATATGGGATCGATTTCTTTACAAATGTATATATAAATATGTCATTATTTTTTTCCAATTTATAAAATATATAAAAATAATAATTAATGAATAAATGATGTATTGGTAAAACGGTAAGTGAACCACAGTGTTCTCTCGAGTGTCATCTTGGTTACCTTTACAAAAAAAAAAAAAAAAAAAAAAAAAAAAAATTGACTCACCATGCAGCTCACGTGCCCGACTCCTACAGCTGTTCTGCTTTGGTCCGGATGTTGCAAGCCTGTTTCGACACAAATAATTATCCTAGAAAATTCAGATTAATGTAACTAATTAAAAACATTATTTAGTTACCGTTGACAAATTCTAAGTGTATATATTTATATATATCATAACCAATTAATTTCATGAAATAAATACATGATGTTTGGTGAAGAAAGAGGCTGATGGAAGGTAGGGGAAAGAAGGCAATGGGATTGCCATGGCGATTTAGTTTAATAATACATAATATGTGCCGATAAATGGTAAATTATTATGCTTATGAAACTTTTGGGAGGAATCATCGTGGTACAAAAGATGCGGGTTTGAATTATGGACAGGACTATAAGGTGCGATATTTGAATTTTTTTTTTTTGGTGAAAGCTGAATTGTATTAATGAATAAATACACGGTCTCTATACCAAAAAATGTTTGTTGACCTTTGGGTAGGGTGTCAATTTAGGCCCGAAGTCCGGTCTGAACCCACCCAAAACATGTCAGACTTCGGGTCTAAGTTTTTCAACAAAAAAAAAATCGAGTTTTTAGTTGGGCTCAATTTGGGTTTCGGACCCAATTTGGACCGTTCCGATAGCTTGATATTTTTTTCAAAAAAAATTAATTAAAAAAAAAGAAAAAATATAATTTAAAAAAAAAATTAGCGGATCCGCTCGGTCCGGTCCGATCCGAGCCCGAAGTTTATAGGACCAGGCTTCGACTTGGTTATATAGACCCGAACAAAATCGGATCAGTTCGAGTCCGGACCAAGTGCGGGCTCGGACCAACCCGATTGACACCCTACCGTTGGTTCAGTTTACAACCAAAAAAATTGGATTCTATATTTTTGGATAAGTATATGAACCTACGTGGGGCTTTTAGAAGAGAAGATGTGCTATAATCCTCCACCAGTGGGCAGTTGGGCTGAGAGCTTCTATCCTGTTTAGACGGGATGCAGTTTCTCATCGTTCGGTCTATCTTGGCACGTAGAATCTTTGCAGTTGAAGCCGTTTGCTGGAAGAGATGGGCATCTCTTTCTTGCCATATCACGTACCAAGAAATCTGCAGTAATAGTGTAAATAATTTTGTTTGTAGGTTATATTTATTTAATTTTTTTAATCGATTTTTAAAGAGATTTTACTTTTTTTTATTTAATTTCTTTCGCTCTTACATTTGATTTATATTTTATTAACTTGATTCAAGAGATCTCTACATTGAATTTAATTAAGATATTTAAAATCATCCAATTGATTTCTAAATTGGATTCGATCGCTTTATTACTAGCTATTGTTTAGTTGTGTTTGATTTTATATAATCCCAATTAAAAAAATTACCTCTAAACATGTTTAAATGAAAATCTTGGCTTTTGAATAGTATTATACTTTTGTACACTTGTTTAATAATCTTAAAAGCTTTTGTTTTTGGATTTTTATAAAACACTTTCAAAATTGTAAGAACGGCAAACAACAAGTAAACAACGATGATTTTTAAAGAATTGATATTGTTTGGGAGAAAATGAATTGGTGTGATAGTTCTGATTTTAAAATTTGTATTTTACAGGTTACAATCCTTAGAAAATAAATTAATTTTGGATTGATTTTATTTTTAGTATAACTATTACAAATATAATAAGTGATATAGTGGCGATACTACAGATCTAGATTAGTAGTAATTAGGTCACCTTACTATTAAAATTAATTTTAATTAATTAAATTAATTTGTATAAAAACAATATTAATTTTATTTATGTATCTAAATGAAACTTTTGGTTTTTAGTTGATTTTTTCAATAAAATAGTTCACTAGTTTTTTGTCAATTTTTTATTTTTTATTTTTGAATTCTAAGACCTTCATCCATTCAACCTGTAAACGTTTATATATACTTAATGTTGCATGATATTTTCGTATTAATAATTAACACGAAGACTTATAATATCCGATCAATTATGATCATATCATTCCTAATTTTATAAATAAAAAAAACATATAATACTGGACAACGTGTATTTCCTCGTACGGAATTCACATCATTCATTGGTCATGCTTCCCACTTCACTTCACCAAATTCTATACGCCTTAGGCTTTAGGAAATCAACAACTCCTCCGTATCCAACCTTTAACAAATCAATTAACCCCATAATAAACAATTAGATCCCTAAATAATAATTAACGTTCCTAATCACTATATATATACACACACACATGTCGATACTCCTCATTGTTTCCCACAATTAACTTCAAACAAAATTCTAAACCCTAATTTCCAATTCACATTTTCTATATTTATTCAAACCCTAAAAAGAATGAAAAATATGGCTAAGGAATCCACCGCCATTGACATGGGTGAGTCGAGCTCGATGGCAAAAGAAAAAGCAGAAGCAAAGAAGAAAGTTGGCATGGCCACGGCCGCAGCCGGAGGTTCTAAGAGAGGTTTGGCCATTTTTGATTTCCTCCTCCGTTTAGTGGCTATCGCTTTCACGATTGCGGCAGCTGCTGTCATGGGGATGGCGGAGGAGACTCTTCCTTTCTTCACACAGTTCTTTCAATTCCAAGCTAGTTACGACGATATTCCGATTTTTCAGTACGTTTCATTTGTTCCTTCAAATATTAATTTATTGTGAAATTTGGAATAATTGAAAAAGGTTTAATCCACGTTTTGGGTTTACAAGAAGGAAATAAAAGTTTAAAACAATTGATTGAGCCAAAAGAGCGATTTGAATAACTTGGATTGTGATTAGAGGGAAACGAAAAACGCTTTACATAATTTCTCTAACCTTTTAGTTGTAAAGTAAATTACAATCTTAAATGGAAATGCGACCGTCAAATAGAATCGACTATACAAGAAAATGATCGTTATTAAAATAATACATATTTTTAATAATTTTTTTTTTCTTTTTTCTAACCACAAACATATGAAAGAAATAAGAGAATTACTTCAAAATGTGAAATGGTATAACAATACGTTTAGAAAAAAAATGGTATAACAATATGTCAATGCGGAAAAAGGTGATCGAATATATTTGATATTTCGTAATGATAAAAAAAATGAATTATATTTCGGTATTAGAATTTATTTATTTTTTGTTGGTGATATTTGTGAAGGTTCTTCTTGATAGCAATGGCCATGGTCGCCGGCTATCTCGTCCTCTCGCTTCCATTCTCCATCGTAGCCATTGTTCGTCCCCACGCTGTGGCTCCGAGGCTTCTCCTCCTTATCTTCGACACGGTGAGTATCCATTTGAACCAACCATTCATATTCTTAAATAATTTATTTACGGTTAAAAACAAATAAATTTAACTAACATGAATTAATAAAAGCTCGGGTTAAATGGACCTGAAAAAAAACATTCTTCTGTTTCAATGATAAATTTTGCCATCCAACCAGAAATTCTATACACATGCGTTTATATATAAGATAATATGTGTATATTAAAACCTTGATTACTATACTATCGTTATAATTCCTATTATCTTATTTTACAATTATGGAAGGTGGTTATGACACTGAACGCGGCGGGC